GAAAGAGAATTCAGTGCATCATCTTTTTTGTGACACCTGGTCTATCAGATCAGGACTCTACCTTGTGACTTCACTTAACTCAATTATTTCCCAAGAGGCTTTATTTCAAAATATAGTCACAAAAAAGTTAGTACTTTAACAAAAGAATTTGAGGGAAACACAATTTTATCCAAAACATATGGAATAATTTTTCACCCTGATGTTCAGGTGGAAATAATAGGAGTGACCCTTGATTTTTCTTTTCCTTGACATCACACATCCAGTCCAGTGAATATAATTCTATGCCAGTGACTTATCACCTACACAGCTACGATCCAAAATCTAGCCATCTGTTCTCTCACCTGGGTCACTACTCTAGCTGCCTATTTCCTGCCAAAGTGGTCCTTTAAGCCTGACTGTCAGATCCCACCTTCCTATAAATCACCACTGACTTCCCATTCTACTTGGAATTCAACCTCAGTTCCTTCCAAGAGTTGGCAGGATCCTGAACAAGCTGGCTCCTGCCTAATCTTCAAGGATTTTTCTCTTGCTCCTGAGGCTCATCACCCACTAGCTCTCTTGCTAGTTCTCAAAACTAGCAGTCTTTCCCATCCTGGGGGCATTACCCTAGTTCCCCCTGGCTGAAATACTAGCTTTTTTCAGAACTTCCCATGGCTCACCCTTCACTACAGTCAAGTCCCACTCAGTTTCATCAACTTGGGAGGTCTTCCCTGACCTCACCAACTGAAATAGACCCCAGCACTCAAACTCTGCCAAACATGTGGGTCACTGTCCACAGCAAAAGAACACAAACAGTCCAGGCCATCACCATTCCATTTCTCTGGCCAAGAAAGATCAAGTTGAAGATGAGAGCTGTTGCTTATTTCAGGAACTTCCCATTACCATTTATCCAGGTGAAATTAACCTACATTTGGTAAAGCCCCTCCTCTCCAGACAGTAGATTGCTCACTTGAAACTCATGAAAGAAAGCATATTCTTCAAAACCATTTGTCAAACCCAAGCCTTTCCATGTCCACCAGTTGGGCTCCACACAGAAAGACCTGCCTCGAGTCAGATCACACCAATATCCTGCCTTTCCCTCCAGCTCAGAGCCACTTCGAAGAAGTTGGCAAGGTTAGTGATCATCTTCCTGCAGCTGTGAAAGCTTTGCTTTACCAGAAGTTCATTGTGATAATTTGGGGGAGCAGTTAGCATTTGATTCCACTCTCTATGTACCCTTCTTAATTATCGTATATTGTGCATATTGCACAGCATATATATAATCGTATATTTAATCGTATATTCATTTATTCTTTCTCCCAGAGTAGTCTTAAGATACATAATGGTGGGCATCTTATGCTCAGCAAAATTTCTGGCAACTAGAACAATGCCTGGCACACAGTAAGATCTCATTAAATGAGTGAGTTATGCTTTTGCTGACCCAGGATCAACAGGACAAGACAGAACAGAAGCCCACCCACATGCAGTAAGATGGACCACACTCCTTGGTCCCTGAAAAGTTACAGAGGACATAGAGTCCTGATCCAGCACTAAATTAGAAGTAGACACCCCCTAAAGTAGCACTGTTACTGTAATTATTAAGGTTCTGGCCATTGTGATTGTTACCAATCTGGCCACTGTGACTTAGTGAATTGTTACCTAGGATAGTGGTTTGACTTCCTGTATGCCTAACTCATAACAGATTGGCTTCCTGGGCAGGTTAGTACAGTTCATGGGACAAGAGTTCTATTTTATGTATCGTGTGGTCACTCTCTATTTAATCACTCCTGCAGTGATGAGGTTGCACTACCCAAACTGGTAGCACCTAGATGCATGTGGCTGTTAAAATTTAAACTCATCAAATAAAAATTAAAACTCATTTTCTTGGGCTCATTAGTGGCCAGCGGTCTCTCAAATTGGATAATTCAGATTTGGGAAATTTTCACCATTGCAGAAAGTTCCATTAAACATTACATTAGCAATGACAAAATGCTTTTAGAACTTTGTTCATTAGACTCCCAAACACCTCTAGGAAAACACAACACCATAATCACCTCACGGGAAAATTTCCACCTTCTCCATTTTCCCTCTGAGTCTCATTTATTCTGTTTTTCCACAACTGTACATCTTTGTTCTCTTTCTTAATTAGCAGATTGTGCATTTGGCCTGTTTTATGCTTTCCTAGTTTGCTGAGTTAATGGACTTCTTTTTTTCACAAATAGTCTTTAAAAGTTACTCTAGTGAACACTTATTGAATTGTTTAATTCCACTTTCCTAGCCATTACCTTTCCCCCTGCTATCCAAGTTTACCCAGAAGCTGCCATGTGGCGATATTGTGTGGCCTCCCACATCCCACCCCACACCCCATGGTCTCATTGACTGAGTACCTGGCAGAGCTGGGCAATCAATGCCCTTCTCAGGAATTGGGAAAGCGACTCCTTCACCTGAGAGAGCAAGAAATCTGCTTTCTTCTGGGTCAGAGGTCTACAATAAGTACTTGTTGCTTGGAAACAGGAGGTACCAGCCATTGTATACAAGGCCATAGAGCTAAGAAGAAATCAGTGAGAGAGTGAAGAAAGAGATGCACAGAATGAGAGGCAGAAATGACACACGAGGATCTCTGCATTCCCTGCAACCTAGAAATCTTAATTTTAGTCCCAAATTCTAACCACTTCATTGCCTTCAAATTGAACAATGTAGTCTATTATCCCTCTAACATATTTTCTTTTTTGCTTAGAGTAGTATGAATTATCTCTTATTTGCAAGCAAAAGAGACCTAATCAATATAAAATATAATCAAAGGAATTTGGACTGATCCTTCTCAAAGCATCACATATGATCACCGAGCACTCCTTTGCTGCCTGCTGGAACAGATGTGTAATGGCTAAGGGATCATCATCTTTTCAAAATAAATGAAGGAGTACAGGACATAAATGTAAAGTGGAATAGACTTGTTGCTAGAATAAAGTAACTCAATTAGTAATGCTTAGAAAAAAGCCAAGAATGACATTTTCTTTAATATCATTGAAGTTCCAGGATCACTTTTAGAAAATAGAAATTACTTCTTACCTTTTTAATTTATTCATTATTTATTTGTTCAGTGAATATTTATTGAACATCTTCCATATGCTGGTACTATGTAAGACACTGAGATTTATAAAATATATCTTTTAAAATTCCAAGTTCTGTATAACTGCAAAATACATAAATGTCAAACACTTTTTCAATTCAACGAGAGAACTGTTGAAAGGTAATCCTAATATTTTCTTTAGGACCTAGTATTTCTACATGGTATGGGCCTCTTGTGCACTGAAACTGACATGTTGTCACAGTAAGAAACCTCTTTTCCCTCTTCACATGCAGCATATTCCACATGAAATTGCTTGTCTTCTTTATGGTGGGGGTACAAGATGAATAGCATCCTCCTCCTCTCTCCCAGAGCCAAATGTTCACTTTCTAGTGTAGCGACCTTCTCCTCCTTAAAGAGATGATCTCTTTACATTCCGAGTTCAAGACAGTCATTCATAAAATAATCTGTCTTTCTCCAGAGGGAAGAATGGGGAAGAATGTTTTCACCCCCATATAATCTCCAAGATTCATAATTTTGGATTTTTTCCCCATGTACTACAAGCCCCTGTACTCGGAGGTTAGATCCTTGGCTCTCATCACATCAGCCAGCTTGATGTCAGCCGGAGGAACCAGTGTGACATGGTTACTGCCATGGACACAGAGGTGCTGTCTTCCTGCTCAGAGTCTGGTGTTGCTGCAAGTAAGGCAACATCTCCGAACTTTCTAAAAAGAAATAGTAAAATAAGAAAAATTAGTTCAAAGAAAAACTTGAAAGATACATAGATAGAATCAGGAATGCTGAAATTAATCAACTAGTACATATGAAAATGGTTAATATCCTACATGGCAATAAAATGTAATGCTTGTGTGTTACTGTTTCAATAAGACATGAACTGTCAGACTACTTTTTTGTGTTCTAATAAACAAGAATAATTTGCATAACTAACAGCTTCCTGTAGTTTAACTTCTACACATATAAAATCACCCCAGTGGTATAAGGATAAACGAATAGACTCCCAGAGAGTCAGATAATTTCAGAAGGTCATTAGCTAAAGCCCAGCACTCTAATGGAAGGACATCCAGTAACTTCTTTTGCTTATTTTCGGTTGGACAGTTTTTCCAGGTAGAAAAAAAGAGCAAAAATAGACATGGTTCTGACTGTCTAGAACTTTCAGTCTTGTGAAAGATATTAACAATAATTAAATAATTACCGAAAAATTGTTGAACAATTTCCAATTGATAAGTAAACTAAAGATACAGTATACAATAACATAAGGTCATATAATGAGGACCCCAACAGAATGGAGGTTCAGAAAACAGGCCCTAGCAAGACATAGATATAATCTACATAAAATAATTACTTTTTAATTGTGATTAAATACAGATAGATGGTACAAAATTCCCAAGGTAGCAAATGTTATTGTACTCTTAATTCTCAGTCAATTTGTTCCTTTCCTGGAATGACCTAGTGTCGACACAGTCTGGCGTACACATATTATTGTACTATACTCTAGGAATAAACATATGCATAAACATGTTTAATTATATATGCATTTTTACACAAAGAATAGCACACCATCCTATAAAAAGATGCTGTTCTTTTTTTTTTAAGGACTGTAACAATGGGTCTTTGAAATTATTTTCTATCTACACATATAAAGTCCATTATTCTTTTTAATGACTGCAAAATGGTCCATTGAAAGGATGTACCATAATTCATGTTAATCTGGGGGAATTTGTTTATTGAAGAAAAAAATAGATGTATGAGTATGATGACTTTAACTAAAATGCATGTAGTGCTATTCGTTTCATATGTAAGATTCATTCTGCCCAAACTGTAATAACCTGTCATGTGGATGCAAGAGTACTAGGTTAATCTGATGAGATGTAGGCCTCAGATTGACCTTTGTTACCTACTAGGTGCAAGGCCTTATGCAAACTGATCAAATTCAGTTGCTTGGAAAACTTTGAAATAAGATATGCTGTTGTGTGCCAACACCATGATAAGTCCTGAAGATACAAAGATGACAGAGCCACAAGAAGGCCTTCACAGAGCTCAACCTCAGAAGGATGACCAAGCCAACGACTAGGAAAGTGATTCCGATTGAAAGCTTTGCAGGTGAGAATCACTGTCCAATCTGGTTTGAAGGATAACAAATGTCAGGTCTTGTGAAGCTCCCTGCATGTAGTTCCACAAAGCAGAAATCTCAGTACTCTGAGATAGAATTTTCTTCACACCCTCTGCTGCAAGCATGTTAACTGGAGCATCCCAGTGCTTTGATCTGATTATTTATTTTTAAACTTCCAAGTAAGATTTCTTAATTGGGGGGGGTGTTGTTAGTTTTTAATTTGAAAAACATTAAATTACAAAATATGTAGCAACATATAAGTGCAATATATTGTGATTATCTCTCAGAATCAAGAAAAAATGATAAAGCAAAGGGATAATGCAATTAGGGCTCCAGCCTAGCCACAAGGACAGGGCAAGTCGTGAAGCAAAACTCAGCTCCCTTCCCGAGTTCCCTGAATTCCCTTCCTGGGATTCAGTCATTTTATAGGAAGCAATCTTCTACCAGGAGAGCTCATTCAAGGAAACAACAGGAGTAGGAAACTCAATCCTGGCCTGATTACCTCAGAACAAAAGCTTGAGAGGAAAGGCTCAACTTCAGAAGGATGACCAGGCCAATGACTAGGAAAGGGATTCCAATTGCAAGCTTCGTGGGTGAGAATTATAGAATTAACAAGACTAAGGTCTTTCTTCAATTGCAGGAATCTAAATCGAGAACAATAGTAGGAAAAGAAATTGAAATGATTTTAGTTATTTGAGCTAACGCTTTTTTGCATTTATTCCCTTACGGTGAAGATCAATTTTTCTAAACTCTCCAGAGGCCTGTACTCTAGACTGGCTCTTGAAAAAGTACTTACATGTTTTATATGTGTTTTTTACCATTATATTTTTCATTTGTTGTTAATGGTGTAAAAAAACATTTTCGATGTTTGTACATTGTTGAGTTCTCTTTTAACCTCAAGAATTTGCTTATTTTTTTTGCTTAGCTTTTTTGTTTTGTTTTGTTTTGTTTTGTTTCTGAGGCAGGGTCTTCCTTTATAGTTCAGGCTGGCCCTGAACTCACTATGTAGCCCAGGTTGGCTTTGAACTTGCAGTGATCCTCCTGCCTCAGCCTCCAGAGTGCTGGGTTTACAGGCATGCACCACCACACCCAGCAGCTCAGCTTGTATTTTAAGAGGTGGTAATATTTTAAAGCAATGACAATTTTCTCTCCTTCTCTCCCATCTTCATACCTGTCATTTCAATTCTTTTTCCTACTGGAAGGATAGGGACCTACCCTTTGATGATAAACAACTGTAGCACCAGCAAGCATCTTGTCTTGTTCTTAAATTTAACAGGAATATATTCCAACAGTTGACCATCAAATATTATGTCTACCTTTGATTCCTGATGTTCCTTATTAAATTAAGGAAGTTCCATCCTGCTTTTAGTTTGCTAAAAGTTTTTGTTGCTAAAAGATTTATCCTATTTTGATGTTGAATTTTTAATCTCCAGGCAATGTAGAGCATTATATTGACAGATATTCTAAGGTTGAATGATCTAATTATTCTGCGATAGACCAACCTGGTTATGATGATTATTTGTAATGGGCTGTTGGAGTCAATTCCTTGTCCTACAATGTTGTTTTCTCATATTGTCGTTTTAGATTTTTTGGTTTTTTTTTTTAGTTTTTATAAAGAGGTAACAAAATAGTCAGAAAGCTTCAGTTCTATTTTGTTTTTGAGTACAATTCTTATATGTTTTGACTTTTCTCCAAAAATTAATAAAAAGTTCCCTACAGTACTGGCTTTTTGTTTTTAGGGGGTTTATGTTTGAATAGTTGAGGAAGGAATTTTGATTATAGTTTTATTTTTCTAATAGCTTTCAGTCTATGCATGTTCTCAATTTGTTCTTTTTAAGTTGATTATGCTGTTTTGGTTTTTTTAGAATGTTGATGTCATGTAAGTTTTCGATGTTTTTAATAAACATCCTTCTGTTTCTTGCTTGTGATAAAGGTGTCCCTTGTTTTAGCATTTTGCTCAAAGCATTTAGCAGATGCTGAATTTTGCCAGTGAACTGATTTGGTTCTCTTCTTGCCCATGTCCAATATTAATCCACCTGTGAGTCCAGCCCACCTCTGCCCAGTACGCAGCACGGCACACTGCACTCTTTCAAGCCTGTCAACTGTGTAAACTAACTGTTGTTGAATAGGTTTAAAGTTTTTCAAACTAAAATGTTAGAGGGGATTATATCATCATTAATTTGGGTTTATCTCAAAAATGAAAATATGGGGCCGGGGATTTAGTTCAGTGGTTTCACCGCCTGCTGCCCAAGCGCAAGGACCCGAGTTCGATCCCGGGTACCAAAGAAAAAAAGAATGAAAATATAAGGCCAGTGATTTAGCTCAGTGGCGCCGTTCATGCCTTGGAACCACAAGGTCCTGAGTTTGATCCCTAGTACAAAATAAATATATATATATATGTTTATATTTATATAAACTTATAGAACTTAGAACTTACAGAAAAACTAACAATATTTTGATAATATGGAAAAACTCAACTTTAGAAAATCCAGTTTAATATGGAAAAGTGATTTTAACATATGCAGAAAATGTGTGTAATAAATTCAAATCCACTCATGATTTTGTAAAAACTTAGTATACTGGAATTAGAAGAGGATTCTTTTATTTGATTAAAGAAATCTTCCAAACATCTTTCAATCTTCAATTGAATTCTGAATGTTATTAAGTTCAAGACTGAAGTTCCTAACAACTTAAACAAGGAGAAAATAATGCACATTTTCTTAAAGGGAAAAATAAAAGTGTCACCTGATGCAGAAAATAAGATCGTGTACATAGAAAACCCAATGGACACCATCCATTTCTGCCACTGTAGTGCACTACAAATAATTAAAAATATTCTCTTTCCTTACAAAGCACCAGAAATTCTGGAAAATATAATAAATATATCCAAAGAACTGTATTCTCTAGGGCCCAAACAAGAAGATTCTTAAAAAGAAATAGTAGCAGAAGTTAAGGCTCCAGCCATGTGGAAAGAAGGTACCTTTCCTGATTACCAAGGGACTTGGACTCTAATAGCCTCACAGGGACTGCAGTGAAAGCCTTGGGCTCACAAGAGGCAAGAAATTAGAACGGCCTCAGGGAGCCGGCACTCTTGATGAGCTAAAGCCTCCATAAAAGGTGAATTACAGAAACGTCACCCACCATCCCAGAGAGGTGACAAGGCTCCTGTCTGCCCCATGTTAATAGCTTGGTTAAAAAGCAACACGAAAGTCTCCCCAGAGAGAAGCCAATGTATTCGTACATTTGAAGTTTGAATTTGCATTACCTATATCATCTGAGATCCCGTAGGGTGACAAACCAATGTACAGATTGTCCTAAAATGGTAATAGTATCTACGTAAGGATATGTGTACATTCTCTGAAAGAATATGCCATCTTCAAATTGTACGTGGTCCCCCAAATCATGACCCACCATGTACTGTATGAACTCAGAATCCTGACTTATAAAACACACAAAGAAACCATCTTTCACAAGCAGAATCCAGCAAGAACAACCAAAAGCAAACTTAATGCCCTAAAACTTTGTGACCATAGAATTAGCAAACATAAGTTCAAAAATTAAGATGATTAAATACCTCTAGAGGGAATTTAAATTTTTCTACAATATGAAATCTCAGTTGACAAGTTAAACAATAGTTAGGTACAGCTAACAAAATAATTACTAAATTGCTCAAGAAATTAACCCAATTCATCAAAACAAGTGAGTGGGTAGAAAATATGAAAGAGAGGTAATGAAACAAAGAGAATCTAATGAGAAGATGTAACATATGTCTTTTTCATGAAACATTGTTTCCGGAGAGAACAGAAAGACTGGGACAAGGTACTATTTTAAGATACAGCTAAGAATTTTCCAGATTTGATAAGAGATACATGAATAAGGAAGACCAGAATAAGGAAGATATGGACTTATTAATCCAAGGCAAGATAAACAAAAAGAAATGTACAACTATCATAATGAATATGTAAAATAGCAAAAACCTTAAGAGAAAATATTGTTTCTTAACATGGAATGAAATTAGACTAACCAAAGATTATCAACAGCAACAACTGAAATCAGAAAAAAATTAAGTAGTAGCTTCAGATCATTGACAGAAAATAACTGCGGGCTTAAGATTATGTACAAGACAGCCAAGAAAGAAGGTGAGGTCAAATAATTCATATAGATAGAATCCAAGTGCATATTTTTACAGAACTCCAGGATAAAAAGGAGCAGTGAGCTGAGGCCAAGAGCTAAACAAATATTGCCCAGTGCTAGCCATTGTTAATGCCAGATTGCAGGTGTGTAGATGTTTGTTGTATGCTTTATATTGTTCTAAAATCTTTCATTTTTGCAAAGCAGTATCTATGTGGTCATAAATAGTGGAGAATAATCAATAAACTCATGAGACTATCAGAATGGAGCAGAAAATGTATTTTTAAAAATATTTCTGGAAATGAAATTGAAATATTTTGAGTTTCTTTTAATTTAAATAGAATTCACAAATGTCTACTATTTTTTCAGATGTGCTGCCAGAACCTACATGAAAGACAAAGGTAACTCATGTCAAAGCTTCGCCTTAAGGAGCCTAAAATATGATAGGGAGATAAAAGTAGCACACAGGTAACTGTCATTTTATAACTGTGATTTTGAATTCTTAAAAAAAGACAAATCAGATAAACCAAAGAAATGGTAAACAAACCATTACTTTTGTGTTCATTGTCCATCTTTAAATTATTTCTAGAAATATTAATATTTACATTTTTAAATTTCATTCATTACCTCTGGCCAAAATATAACTTGTTGGTCCCAGAAAATTGCTCATAGATTGTGGAAATGAAACAACCTTCCCATTCAGAATCTGTCAGTAACAACTCAGTGTGCTTTTCTTATAGGAATAAAAAGAGTATCTCTCTGTTTCCAGGTTTACTTCTGAGGCAATGGGAGATAGACCACTGACATAAGCCCGCAGCTAATAGGAGTGTCAACTGGAAAATCAGGATGAAAAATGCGTTTTTTGAAAGGAACTCCAAATCCCATCCTGCAAGTGATTTGCAGGCAGACTCAATTTGTTTCCTGTACCTGAGATGCTTTCTTTCAATCTCAGACTATGAAAAGTGTTTTCAGGTGAAAACCTACCATTCTCACATTATATTTCAAGTAATAGGCAGAGGGAAATAACAAGATTTTATTAACCCTTAGAATAGCTACTTGGGTATAGGCTTATTGAAAACTTTAATTTCATTATTAACAAAGGATACTTAATTTTGACGTTAAATATAATTTACAGAGTGTGATAACTGACATGAGTGTTTTAAAATTTGAGTGTGAACCAGTGAATAATATAAATACTACCCATACAGAACCTGGAATCCCTGCTGTTTTTTCCATGAGAAATCTCTGTTATTCCTCTAAGTAATTAATAAGGACCGACGGCAGGAGAATGAAAGCTATCGGAAGAACTGGGACCTAAGAGGGGGAAGCCTCAAAAGCCATAAAGGAAATAGAGCTGAGATGAGAGAATCCTTTGATGGGAGAATTCTATTAGAGCCATTGTAACAGAACAAACTAGTGGTACCTGAGTGGTAGGAAACTGCTGCAGAGAGAAAAATGATGACCATTCCTCCACACAGTTAATACAGGCGAGCAGCAAAAACTCAGGGCTTTGTGCCTTTTTCAGAATCCACTGGTATCAATCTGAGGCAGTGGAAAGAATGCTTCTGAGCACATTTGATAGAAATTTAAATTCTGGCTCTGCCTGTTACTAAGCCTGGGACCTCAGAAATGCTTTATCTCACTGCTGCTGATCCTGACTCAGAAAAATAGGAATTAGACTCCTTTTTTAGCATGGTTATGCAAATTAGGAAATATTATATACATATATGATATCTACCACAGAGCAGGGGCACAGTATTTTATAACTTTTAAATTTGTTGACCTTATATTTCTAATCTCTTGGATGTTAGAATTCCTCTTATATTCTCAATGCTTTGTACCAAATTGCATATGGGGTTCCCCAAATCAATAGGCATTTGTAGGAGTAGGAACAATAAGACAATATTCAAACAGGTTTACCTATTGGTAATCATGGAGTCTTTTAGAATGTTAGGGACCTGTAAACAGGTGGCGTGGAAGTCAGTATGTTGTCCAGAGGACTCACTTGGCTGTGAGTGGCTTCGTTCATTTTCTGTTACTAGAACTAAATGCCACAAGTTAGATATTTATAACAAAAAAGGGATCATTTAGCTCATGGTAAAACCAAGCTCTGATCTCACAAAGTCAAAGAATGAAGTCATGAACCAAAAGGAGGAACTGAGGGGCATTTTTTGGAAATAAGAAGAAAAAACAGATGCCCACCATGAGGGGCTTCTGAACAGAAGCCTTAACTGATTTGTTTGTCCTGCTCTTATGTGAATACGCAGAGTGCTGGAAGAGGCTAAAGAAAACTGAGTTCAAAAGAAACTGGTTAGTTTGTATTTCTAATGTTTCTGGAACTCTTGGCCTAGAGAGGAGCTGTCAGCTAACTTAGCATACTCACAAGTACTTTTCTTCCTGGGAGGAAGGGTCCTTGTCTCTCCAGTCTTTTATCATTTGTTCTTGTGTATTCTTTTACATTTTTACACTGAACTAGCTACTTAAATTAGCTCTTAACTCAGTGGACTATTTTCTTTATCTTACCCTATCATTAGTCTGCCCTGACTGCCTACTCATAGTAACTAAATTAACTACTACATTAGCATTAGTATCTGCTTAGGGTCTGGTGAGGACCTACCTGCTGGGCCATGACATGCCAGAGAGTATTACAGGGCAAGACAGAGAAGCAAACCAAAAAGAGCTCCTACCATTCTTTGAATGAGCTAAGCAAACCCAAGGTCCTTATGCTGAAGGCTTGGTCCCCAGGGCAGTGCTACTGAGAGATGCTGCAGACCTGTAAGAGATAGGGCCTCATGGGGATCTATGGGTCACTTGATCCACACCCTTGAATGGGATTTTGGAACCTTGGGCTCTTATTCACTCTCTCCCTCTGTCCCTATTCAAGATGTGAGTGTTTTGTTCCTACGCATGCACCTGCCATAATGTGCCATCACCCAGCATCCTCCCCAGGGAGGAACCTATACAGGAACCAAGTCTTTGAACCTCCAAAACTGTAAACCAAATAAGCCCATTCTCTGCATAAATTAGTTGCCTCCATTATTGTGTTGTAACATTCCAAAGGTGACTAAATAGTTCCCTTTAATAATTAAGCCCATCCCACAATGAGCCATTAATCCATTAATCCACAAATGAATTAATTTATCCTTGAGGACAGAACCCTCCTGACTCAATAACTTCATAACACTCCCACTTGATCTCATCTCCTAACCCAACAATGGGGACTAAATTTAACATGATTTTTGATGGAGACATTAAAACCATGGTCGTGACATAAGTGGTATGATCAAGGACCATGGTTAATGTTTAAATTTTTTTTAATTATTATTATAGTAAAAGACATATTGCCATTAATCCCCTTAAAATACTCCACCTAGCTTCAAACACACTAATACCTTAGTTCTTCCCACTTTCTAAAATAGTTTTGGAAGTTCTCTTTCATGAGTGTCTTTGGTTGTGCTGTCTTGGAGGTTGTGATGTTTTGAATCAATTCAAATTATTTACCTCTCATGGTCATTTTGATTTTAGGAAAGAGCCAGAAGTTGCACAATGCCAGATCCAGTAGATAAGGTCAATGAAGACACACTTCAGGTCAGAGGGGAAAAATAGAAAAAACTGTAAAGTATTTCAGTTCTGAAAACATTGCCAACTTAGAATTCTATAACTAACAAAATATTCTTTATAATGAAGGTGAATCATCTAAGATTTATCACAGGAAAGCAAAGATGACACAACAAAAACCAGTAATATAATACACTATCCTAATAAGATGAAAAAAGAAATAAAATGCATAATCATCACAATTAATAACAAAAAAGCATTTGACACATGACAAAAACACACAGTAAAACTTGAATATGGGGCCACAGATTTAGCTCAGTGGTACAGTGCCTGCCTGGCAAGCGGGAGGCCCTGAGTTCGATCCAAAAAAAAAAAAAAAAATTTGAGTGAGAGAATTTCTTCAATGTGATAAAGGCTATCTACAAAACACTCATAGTATCAAACTCAGTGGTGAAAGATGAAAAGCTTTTTTCTCAAAATCAAGAAAAAGACAAACATGTCCACTTTTACACTGGTATTTAGTACTATATTGGAAGTTCTAGCCAGAGCAATAGACAAGTAAAAGAAATGAAAGCCATTAATTGAAAAGGAAGAATTAAAGCTGTTTGTATGTAAATAGCATGATTCTGTATATATGTAACAGTTTAAAAATCCACAAAAACCTGCTAGATTTAGTAAACAAATACAATGAAGTTACCAAGGTACAAGATCAAAGCACAAAAACCATTTAAAACATCAAATACTATAAAACAAACATTTCTTAAAGATCTAAATAAATAGAAAGACATCTGTGTTCAACATATATCGGAGTACTTTATTTTTAAGATGACGATAATCTTAACTCCTCTAAGTAATCTACAGATTTAAGGCAATCCATACCAAAATCATATTTTTTTAGTTATTAAGCAAATGCAAATCAAATGCACAATGCTATACAGTGGTACCTTGGTTACAAACTTAATTTGTTTTGTGATTTGGGAAAAGATTTGTGTTTGTGTGGGAAGGATGGCTACAGTGTCTGTCACCTGATGTTAGAGTTTGCAAACAAAAACAAAATTTCACCAAATACTTTTGTTTGCAAACTAAATTGTTCCCAAACAAAAGTATTCGTGAACCAAGGTGCCGCTGTACCATTTCACATCCAATAAAATGGTTATAATAAATCAGATTTTAAAATTCCACTTCCAAAAGAATTGAAAGCAGATATTCTCACAAATGTACACAAATATTTGTAGAAGCACATTTACAATAGTTCATAGAGAGACCAACCCAAGGGCCCATCAATGAATGAATAAAATGATTGTGGTATACCCATACAATGGAATATTATTCAGCCATGAAGGAATGAAGTTCTGATATGAGCTACAAAGTGAATAAACCTCAAAAATATTATGCTAACTAAAAGAAGCCAAAAATGAAAGGTCATACATTGCACAATTCCATTTATAGGAAATAACCAGAATAATTAAATCCATAAAGACAGATTAATGGTTTGTGGGGCAGTGGGTAGGGAGGAATTAGGAGTTAATGTTTCCTGGATACAGGCTCTCCTTTGGGAATGATGAAAATGTTTTAGAACTATATAGAGATGATGACTGGAGAGGTACTCATAGATGCACTAAACACCACTGAATTGTGCACTGCACAATAGTTAATTTTATATCATGTGAATTTCACTTCAACAAACACACAAAGAAATTAAGCAAATCTAATTTTCCTCAATTGCCAACATATGAAAGCAAAATAAACTTTATAGCAAAAGCTAAGAGAATTGATGCTATTATAAAAATTGTCAGTAAACTAGTAAGATAAGAAAACCTGCTTGGACCAACACAGACTCTGTGTGTGTGTGTGTGTGTGTGTGTGCACGCCCGCGCACGTGTGTGTGTGTGTATTTTGATCTTATTTAAATTATACTTCCATAAAATTACTTTTAAAAATAATAAAGCATCAAGACATCTATATTTAATGTTATTCATATGTTAAGGTTCCCAGGAATGTAGGCGTATTTAACAAATATCTAGGAGGAAAATTTTTTTCCATGCTGGGTCTTGGCCATTTCAAGGAACCCTAGGAACATTTTCTGGCAGATAAACAAAAGTAGGAGGGAAGGGAGGCTTTTCTTGTCATAAAAGCCTGTCACCTGATTCTCGATTAGTTAATTCATCAATTAGAAAGAGCTCTCAGGACACCCCCACCTCCACCAAATGCAAAGATCAAAGTCAGATCCGGAAGCAAGTTTTAATTCACCATCCAAGAAAAAACTCAGAAAATCAGTTTTGGCTATGGCAAAAAGTAGTGCACAGGGCCCAGAATTATGGTTTAAAAAAATCAGAGACACAGAGTATCTTTTTTAAGCATTACAAATCAAGGTGCCCCTATTGGTGCTCAGGGAAAAAACCCTTTGAA